TTATTAGACCAAAATGTCTGCTAATAACTAGATCATTTATTATTAAATGTTACTAGACTTATATTTTAGTAATATAATATTTAACTATTAAAATATTCGAAAAATAGGAGTTTTCATATATTTTATCGTATTCTTAAATTTTTCCTAAACATATATATACACAAAAATCTGCAATTTATTTATTATTGTTAGATTACCAGCAGATGAAATGGCCGAGTCTTTCTTGAAAATACTATTAAAACACGGACGCAGTGGTAACAAAATTTCAACTCAAAATAAAGTCACAATTGTTGAATTGTGAAGAACCATGAATTAATTCGTGCACCTAATATTTTATTAAAATATAAACTTGCATAAAAATTCGTAATATAATTTATTAGTGTTCGTGGAATATCGTTCGAAACAACATAATATATTGCATTATCTGACAAAAATAGGTGAAAAAAATCAGAAACAATTTTCTCGAAAGTAGAAAGGGCTTTGATATCGAATACCATCTTATATTTTTCAAAAATGAATAGGAAACATACATAGCTTGTCCTATTTCGAGCTGAATCATCGAGGACAGTTTGTTGAAAGAGATAGAAAATTATGATTAATAGTTGTACTGTTGATTTTTAATTTTTATCAATGATTCAAATTTCCATCAGAGAAGTAATACGACAGAATGCAGAAGCAATGTTTCGCTTGCAATTTTTTTTTTTAAATCAATTATACATTATGAAATTCTGCAGCTACATAATATATAAAGAAATTCCAAAGATTCACTCAATATTTCACTACAATTCTACAATTTTATAAAATTCAAAAAATTTTTTAATTTGTACTGTCCTTTTTTTTTAATTTGTCTTTATGAACCAGTGCGTCAGATGAACAAATCACATCAGATCCAACTTCTGTTATTATTCAAATCAATGATAATAACATAATGAAGAAATTAACCACCCTCGCATAAACGAGATTCCATTCATATTGAAACAAACTGTTGTAATATTAAAATAAACTTGCTTCTCTTGGCACATTAATACTCAATAATATTCCAAAATATATACACAGATACATTCCTACTAAACCAATAATAAAACTGTATTTCTAACGGAAATAAAATATCACACCACGACTCTTTAATTAAGAAAATCTAAAAGATTCAAATCTAAAAATCCAAAAGATTCTAAAAAATCTAAAGGGATTCTAAACATCTGAATGATTCATAAACGAGAATATCTAAAGGCTGCTAGAAAAGTGAACAGGGTTAAACCCTAAAACATTCCTTTCTGAAGCTCTCAGTCTCTTTGTGAAAGTTACTTGGGGTTTGTAAAGGCGACTGGAACGCTTCTTTTGACACGCAACGATCATCACTCTGAGGCAGCAGTCTATCATAAAAATTACTGTGTGTTGTTCCTTGAAAGCGGCTCCAAGCTACCGTGTTACAGCAGCCAGCCATGCGAGACAGTCTCTTACAAAGCATTGTGTCGGCACATCGTGTTCATCACACGGAGGAGACACGTATCAGCGTTTCCTCCGTTCTAGAGAGCACGAATTCCGAAACTCGCATCGCGCGCTGGAAACAAAGGAAAGAACGCGAAACCTGCGGCCACGGAAACGGGAACAACGTCGACGAATGGCGCGCAGTGTATCCGCGACAGAAACTATGTGCATTGAAATTACAAATGCGTTTCGCGTGTCGGCGAACGCCGAATGAATTATACCGGTCCGTCGCGTAATTCCCAGGGAATTATTTTGCCTTTTGAATGAAATTAAAATAGAAAGAAAGAAACGAAATGAAGAGGAGCACGAGCAAACGGAAGTGAGACGAAAGGAAACAAATGGAAGAGATCGGAATAGAATGACCGGTGTTAGTTTTCGTCGTCTTCATTTATAATTGTCCGTCGTGTAATTTTTAGGAAATTATTTTGGCTTTGTATGAAATTGAAATAGAAAGCAGAAGAAAAAAATGAGTGAAGAGAAGAACGAGCAAGTGAAAAAGAAGAGTTAAGAAGGGAAACATAAGAAGGAAATTTCCGTAAGGAAAATCGCGTGATTTGTAACAAATTTATTTTGACTGTAAGTGAAATTAAAAAAAAGAAAGAGAAGCGAAACGAAGTGAAAAGCAAAGAAGAAGATAATTGTTTACCTTTTCTATAATTTATAAACGTTACTTTTAAATACAATTTATATTAATATAATATAAATAATAATGTCAAATGTAATTTATGCTACTATAATGTAATAAACATTAATTGTTGATATTAATTACATACTACAATTATATTGTAAATTGTAATTGTAACCATTTGCAATTATATTAACACATCTATTGATATAAAATATTATTTATATGAATGATAAAAGTGAAATATAATCTGTATTTATTTTACATGTAATTTTACAATTTTAGAAAATTATCTCAAAAGACTAAGTTTCGTCGCAAAACGAACTTTGTCAACTGCATTATACGATGTGTAAGAATGTGCTAACGTTTCCAACAAAGTACAATATTCAGCGAACTACTTTAAAATGAAACATAAGAATTTAAAAATTACACACAGGAATTGTATTCATTGAATTAAGAGAATCATCTTGGTCAAGCAAAATTTACTAATAAATTAGTTTCTAATTAAACACAGATAACAATAGAACATATTTTCCTTTCTAAAATATCTAAAATTGCAAGATAATACATTATATTATAATAATATAATTATATATCATAATGTATTATATATTATATAATTATATATATATATATATTTTTTACGATTTTATATATTTTAGAAACAAATAAAATAATATAACGTATTACCTTGCAATTTTAGGTATTTTCTTATATTAGAATTATTTTCTTATATTAGAATCTTATATTAGAATTATAATATATAATGTATATAATTATAATATATGATTATAATTATATAATTATATAATTATTATAATCTTATATTATAATTATAATATATCTTATATCATAAATATAATATATAATATATAAGATTATATATTATAATATAATATATAATCTTATATTATAATTATAATATATCTTATATCATAAAAATAATATATAATATATAAGATTATATATTATAATATAATATATAATCTTATATTATAATTATAATATATAATTATTATATATTTAATAATTATTATAACATATAATTATTATATTATTATATTATAATTATAACATATAATATATATTATATTGTTTCCAAAATATGTAAAATCGTAAAATATTGTCCCTTTCTTGTAAGAAATAAAAAAAGGTCACAGTAATTTTCGCTTATAGTATCGTCGTACCCAAGACAAGACAAGACAGAAAGAAAAAATATCTTGACAAAACAAAGAGAAACGGAGAGAGGAAATCCATCATTTCGCGATTGTCCTCGGGTTCTCAGTTTCCTGCTCGACGCCGCGTTTCTTTTTCTTTTTTTTTCTTTTCTTTTTTTTTTTTGTCTTCCTCATCCGTTTAAACGCGACCCGACGGTAATTAAGCAAAAAACGAGCACGTTATTTATACAGGTTTATTTTTTCTGTTCGCGCGCGTTAACCGCGCAACGCGCCGTACCGTTCTCGTTTCTCGTCGCATTCGTTTCAACGAGGCTCGTCGAAATGCACCTACAATGAAGATAACAAATCGACGAGGGAAAGGTGTGTTAATGACGACAGCTCGTAAAACAGATCTGTCCTCGAATCAAATGAATTTTTGATCTTTTCGCTGGTGTTTGTTCGGCAGATCGATCGCAAAGAACAATCACTGGTGACAGTTTCTTTTCTACAAATATTTTTTCTTTGTTTTTTGGAAATTACTGAAATAAGATGAATATCGTCGATAAAATAATTTTAAACAACTAAAGTAAGTAACTAAATAATTGTACATTATACGATAATGGCGAATATTATCAGTTGGAGATTTAACACTTTATATCCCGAGGATATTTAAAATACAATTGTACATACGTACAACTTTGTCCTCTGCCACTTTTTTCCTCGTTTACGATTTTGCGAGAAAAACACTGAATAAGAATAACACCAACACTCTGTATAGCACGATACACATAAATCGTACGATATTTTGCAAACTAAAACCGAGCGATAGTTAGTTGTACATATAGGATAGATAGTTATACATACGAGAAAATTGCTCAAAGTCTAACCTGATTTTGATTTGATTTTGAATTTTGACAATATAGCCTGAATAATTACCAGTCTCATAAATTATTAATCAACAACTTTCAACAAATGTCACACTTATGGTACCAAGGCAATTAATGATTATATATATATATATATATATATATATATATATATATATATATATATATATATATATAATTCAAAATAACGATTTAGTGCGTTTTTAATTTTTATAACTAATTTCTACTCTCAGGAGTGCATAATCGAAGCAAGAGCAAGTTAAAAAGAGTATTAAGAATGGGGCAATCTAATTTTAGGGTAAGAAGGTAGCAAAGTCGAGAGACAAGGCTCTGAGTTACAAGTAAGTCGGCTGTAATTGGGATTGCAATGACTTATTCAGCAGAAAATTAAGACGAGTTTTTTTTTGCAACTACTTAATAATCACAAGACAAAACTTATTATTAATATAATTATATAATTATTAATATTATATATTATTAATGTAATAAATATTAATATAATAAAATAATATCAGAAATGTTATAAATAACAAAATAATTTTATTATAAATAATAAGACAATTTTATTAAAATAATAAAATGACATTATAAATATTATAAACAACGAAATAATAATATTCTCATAACATGAATGGTACATTAAGAGTAAAATAATGATAATAATAGTAGAATAACGTGAGAATAATAAAATAATGAAATAACAGTGTAACACGAGAAATATAGGGATATTGAAACAGGAAATAGAAGGGAATAAGAACACAGGAAGGGGAGGAAGTGTCACAGTTCTCCAAACGCATAATTAATCGTCTCGTTGCGCGAAAGAAATAACAATGTGAAACTCACCGTCCCGTATCACGCCGCTTCCCAGCTGCCTCCATTTGCTGAAAGTGCCTTCGTCCGGCGTAACCGATCCGGTTGTTCCGGAATCTGATTGCGTTGTCACTATCTACGACAGAAACAATAATTTCCCCCCTGAGTGCAATGTTTTTTTGAAGACGAAGATTTTCTTCGCCGCCACAGAAAAAAAGAAGAAAAAAAATTAGACGCACCCGCGGCGTTATTGCAGCTGGAGTGGAAAATTGAATCGAGAAAGATCGTTGATTTCACGTTTCGAAACTCACGATGCTTCCTCTTTTCCTCGCGTGTCGCGATATCCTCGTTATAAACGTCTCTTTCTCGATGGAACTTACGACTCCGGGGGTCTGTACGTGACACGATTTTTGAAATCCTACAATTTTAAGACGATGATATACAGGTACATTTTGAGTGTGAATACAGTGTAATTTTAGACACCCGTTCGCGCAGAATATGATAACTGACCCAGATTCTCAAAGAGACGTTTAATGAAACAGAATACATTTTTTCGTGTGATACAGTTTTTTAGACAAACTATAACAGTTTTATATGATAGTGTATGGTTATAATTTATAAGTTGCACTAGTTTTGCAATTACGTTTAATGAAACAGAATTTTTTTCGTGTGATACAGTTTTTTTAGACAAACTATAACAGTTTATATGATAGTATATGGTTATAATTTATAAGTTGCACTAGTTTTGCAATTACGTTTAATGAAACAGAATTTTTTTCGTGTGATACAGTTTTTTTAGACAAACTATAACAGTTTATATGATAGTGTATGGTTATAATTTATAAGTTGCACTAGTTTTGCAATTACGTTTAATGAAACAGAATTTTTTTCGTGTGATACAGTTTTTTTAGACAAACTATAACAGTTTATATGATAGTGTATGGTTATAATTTATAAGTTGCACTAGATTTGCAATTACGTTTAATGAAACAGAATTTTTTTCGTGTGATACAGTTTTTTAGACAAACTATAACAGTTTATATGATAGTATATGGTTATAATTTATAAGTTGCACTAGTTTTACAATTACGTTTAATGAAACAGAATTTTTTTCGTGTGATACAGTTTTTTAGACAAACTATGACAGTTTTATATGATAGTGTATGGTTATAATTTATAAATTGCAGTAGTTTTGCAAAAGTCACAAAATTACGAATTATACGTTTCTTGGTTCCAGAACGCTCATCAATGAATTTGACACTTGTAATAAATGGATAGAAAAAATATTCATAAAGAACAATTTTGTTTGTTTACAATTTAATCGATTCGGTCTAATTCTAATTCAATTCAGGTATATAAAATTTCGTATCATTTAATGACGAACTTTACTTTAATATTTTTAATTCCAAAATTTTACTTAAAGAAAATAAAAGTGCGTGGCAATACATTTTGTAATTATTGTAAATGAGGAACTCCAAAAAAGAATTATCTAAAATTTGAATTTGATTTATAAAATGCGCATGAATCTAAATATATATCAACAAATTAATATTATTGATAATGTCAAATAATAAGAACAGAGGGAAAAATATTTAACTGTAAGGACTCTTGCAATGATTTTTTACTTTAATACTGTAAATATTTCAGCTTTTTTCCGAAAGAAGAGAAACTAAAAAGCTTTTTCCTCTTAAGAAAAACATACGAGTGATATAAGTTGAAAACCGTGTCGGCTAATTTTTGGAACGTTGCCTACACAATTGTAAACATTGATCGTTATAGTTAATTATTGACGCACAGCCAGGATGAATTGTTTCGTATTCTCTCAATTGAAAAAAAAAATTCGACAAAAAATGTGTTTCGTGCGAACGTTGTTAGTTTGGAATAGAAACATCGGAAAAGCGGAAATTCCAATATACTTGAAAAAGTATAGTTAAGTATAGTATAGATAAAGTCTATACTTGAAAAATCAGAATAAAATTGTGCACGTTTCCTACTGAGGTTTTCCTTCACATTATCAAAAAAATGTCCTGTGTATGAATAAATTGCTGTAATGAGTTTGTCATATTTTTTCACTTTGTACAAATGAAAATAAAGTTTCAATTAATTAAAAAAAATTCAGCTTTTTAGTTTTACAAATAATTACAAAAAAAAAGAAAAAATATTTCAAATTATATATATATTTCATAAAAAGTAATATTAGAATTTAAATTTTTATGCAATTAACTACATCATTTTCGAAATATATGATGTCCAAAAATTAAAACATATTCATACCTCCTCGAACGCAATAAATTTCATTTCACATTTAACATTTTTTTATAAAATCACTAAGAAACGAGTTATTTCACGTGGACTGACTCATGTTGTATAAAATTTGCACATATGTCGTGGACTGACTCATGTTGTATAAAATTTGCACATATGTCGTTGCACATTTTTACCAATGAATTTCCACCTGCACCAAAATAAAACTTAATGTAGTATTAATTTAAATTATCAAAGAACTTTTTCACTAATTTACGTTTGAAAACTTTCCTATTGATTTTTATCAATCTGCTGATTCAATTCATTTAATTATAAAATATATTCACGTTAATTCAAAAATTCCAATTCATCCATAAATCAATCTCTAATGAAAATCTGTAAGATCAGTGTGATGTCAACCAACGTAGAATCACCGGACGATTCTGTCTCGCTGGTTAACTTATTAACGAAACTTAGCCTCGGCTGGATATGTTTTTTCATCGATGAGAAATATCGCACAGACGTGTAAATAAAATACACGACCATCCGTTAGATGACTTCCTTTCCAGCACGGATATACCCCGAAGCGACGAGCATACAGCCAACTGAAAAGTCAAACACTCCGACGATCTATATTTACAGTAACTTTTTCTCTGCCATTATCACAAATAAATAGAAGATGCTTATAAGGCACAGTCCGGCCAAATAACGTCAAATAACGAAAGAGCGAAAGGTGATCGATATTTTTGTCAACCTTATCTCGTACCGGCATTCATATTCTTTTATTAACCCTCATTTGTCCCTTCTGTCGATTCGACGCGTTCTCCTTACGAAAATTGATACGATTCTGCTACATATATATTTATACGTCATATGAAATTTCGTGACATTTATTTTTGTCTAACGTATTGAATTCTATGTATTTTTAACATTTATTAGATAACAACGTACGTCGCTAGAGTACGTTGTAAATAATATTTGTTATAGAAAAGATTTTGTGTGCCAATATCATTTGATAAGTTACATATGGACTTATCGTGCCGATAGTAACCAAAAGGGAATCACCATACTATGATACTACCCTTGGCAAAAATATAAATGTTTAATATAAATAAATATAAATATTATATATTATATAAATAAATATAACATTATGTAATAATAAATATAAATATATTGACATATAATAATAAATATAATATATAATATTATATATCATATAAATAAATATAATACATTATGTAATAATAAATATATTGATATATAATAATAAATATAATATATAATATTATATATCATATAAATAAATATAATACATTATGTAATAATAAATATAAATATATTAATATATAGTAATAAGTATAATATATAATATTATATATCATATAAATAAGTATAAAAATTTAAAAACATCGTGACCTCTGAGGAATAAACAAAATAGGTACAAATACTATCATGTTTTGTTTCAAGTACACGAATAGACGAAATCAGCGATTTCAATTTAATTCATGGAAATAAATGTTTTCGAATACTTTCGAATGCTTGGAATTTGATTTCGAAGACTTCTTGGGGTAGTATAATAATCTACCAAGAGAATAGTTGTCTCGAACTGTTGTCCATTATTAAGCATTCAGAGTGGAGATGAAAAGAAAAGTACCACGAATGTTGTCACAACAAATCACAGAATCCTAAACAAGTGATCGTAATTTTAGACAAAATTACTGAAAATGAGATCAACATATGTGCATGAGATTAACGTGAATTTTACATACGATCGAATTTTATTTACTGCTAATAAAATAAGATTCGCAAATTTAATCATTTATCCTTTTATTGTGTTAATTTTTTCTTTTTTTTTTTGCCATTACATCAATTTGATATCAAGAGATGAATTAAGTTGGAAGGATGAGGGATGAGAATTAACGCTGCACAATCCACGCGGAGATTGACTTCTTGACCCTTGACGGTATTCACTGCGTTGCGGCTGAATAAAATTGAACATCGGGCAAGTTGAGAGGCAGTCTAGTAATCGAAATTGCTGCTTCTTTGGCATGCTATCAGCCATTCTCTTCTTCTCTTCGTCTTCGTTTCTCTCTCTCTCTCTCTCTCTCTCTCTCTCTCTTTCTCTCTGTTTGGTCTTCGATTCTCCATACTGAATACTTAGCTACCACGTATACACGCTGCGTGTGTCGTACCTGCCATAAATTGAACTGCGTCAAGCGGAAAATGGAAGGACGCTTCGATTATACGTCTGCCTGTATAATTTAAACGAAGCGAGTGTTTTGGATATCCTTTAGTATTGAGCATTGAATTCGAAACGTTATCTCTGAGGAATTGTAATTCTATTATTTGTACGAGTTTGTAAGTAATATTTGATTATATTTCCCTGATCCTTTAAATGGAATAATGAATATCGTACAGATGTACAGTACAATCTGACATGCTTGAAACAGTTCACTTGCAAGTTAAAAGGAAACTGTATAATATAGATGAATATAAGAAGGGCCTCTCATTTTCCTAATTTAATTTGTCTCTTATTAGCGTCAGATTGATACAGTGTTACATAATATTAAAATAAGTTAAATCTGCCAATATTGGCAATTAGATTAGATTTTTAGATTCGACTGTGTGTAAGTCCTATGCTCCTGTATATGTGAATCTAGAATCAATTATCGTGATCTTACTAATATTAGGAAACTAGCAAATAAACTATTATTACTAGGTACTAGTTTTATTATTACTAGTTTTATTAGTTAATATACTATATAGTAATAATGTATATTACTATAGTGTAATAGTTATTATACTTAACTCTTATTACTTTATACTTATAAACAGTATACTAATAGATATAAATAGAAGATGATGCAAGTTATTTTATCATTTAATATA